AAACCTCATTCCACGAGGAATAACGGGGCTGCCGACAAAGGGCTTTGATGTCGACAGGGGGAACGTCCAGACTAGCGGTGAGCCAACAAAGAGCTGATTAGCTGTTTGTCAGCTCAGTGCGGCAGCCATGTAAATGTAAATGAAGCCGCGATCATTTAAATCGCAGCTTCTTTTGCCTTTGCTGATCTGTCTAATCTACATGCCTCTGCCGACAGAGGCATGTAGTCTAGACACAGCCCTGGAGTACTAGCCAGAGCAGTGGTACATGTAGTTACTGATTTTCCCTTAGGAAGTTGAAAGGGGTGTGGAGTTTTTCCCAGAAAACTCTACAGACTAGGATTCTCCTTGAAGAGAGAAAGGACCAAGCTGTGGGATATTGCTTCTAAGAGCCCAGGGACCAGTTCTCAGGACGACACTACATGCAGGCCTGGGACACAAGCTCACCTCAGCCAGTCCTACTCTTGCTGTGGCTCACCCCTGACTCTTCCAAAATGGCTTCTCCCCCCTCCCTGGCTCCCAGAGAAAGCATCTTTCTTCCTATGGATCAGGCTAGCTTGGGAGTAGGTAAATACAGCTCATAGGCTGTATCAGTCTGCCAGTGTTAGCCATTGGAGGGCCCTCACACCACTGTATTTACCTACATCTCCACAAGCACGAGGGATCACAGCTCCCATTAACAGCATAGAGCTCTTCCTGGCCAATGGGAGCTGCGATGGCCCACACCTGTGGAGGTGCAGATAAATATAGTAGCAGCAGCCCACCAGGGGCTAACCCTGGGGAAATGCCCCTGTTTTATTTCCCACTACTGGGCTAACTCTTAATCTCAAGCTTTTACTTGTCAGTTATTTGACTCTGCCCCAGTGATGTAGTTACACTTGGCTCTGAGTGGGCCGTGGCCCAGCTACACAGCATCCAAGGCTTCATAAATCAGGGACTGAGCCCCCTGAATGCATAGGCTCAAGGCTGGACCCTGGCTGGGTGTCTCTCAGTCTGGTCACATGACTCTCCTGCCAGAATAACACCCAGCTGCCCTGGGCTTCTGCCCCAGTGCTAACCCTGTGGGGAGGGGGTACCTCATGTGGCAAGGTGTGTGTGGGGCTAGTGCTGGGGTGGGAAACTGGGTGGGTGGAGTTCATCCCCCAGTGGGCCCCCCTCTAACTCATGGGTGACTCTGTAGCCTGTGTGCCCTGGATTCATGCTGAAGATGGGGGTGGGAGGACATGAGTTTCCCAGTTCTCCTGCTCCTGCTTACCAGAGCACTAGATCCCACCTGCATCTCCAGCCCCCTTCCTACCACTCTCCCTGAGGCATCAGACACCACCTCACCATCCTGACCCTCTCACTAGAGCACTGGATCCTCCCGACCCCTCACAATGGAACTGGCTCCCTCCTGAACATCTGTATTCTAATAACTTCTCAAGCAGCATTTTCCTTACTTGGACAATTGGAAACAGTTGATTATTATTGTTAAAAATAATGTTTTCTTTAGTTTGTGTGAGGATAATGAAACTGACCTTTAGTGATATTTGCCAATAAAAATGGAATCCTCCCAAGCTACCTGGCTACAGACATTTGGGAAAGGCACTCTCGGTCACGAGAGAAACAAAACCAGGAGAATGATCCTTATTCCACATACAGTAAAAGACTGATCATGCAGGTCTGTGTGGAGGGGAAAAAACCCTTCTGGGATTGGCTCTTTAGCCAATTTATAATGTTAATGTAAATGTTCACAGTCTAGTTTATTAGAGCAATTAGCAACAGAAAAGTAAGTACCTGTAATTCCTTGAGGATACAGCTACACTGAGCAGCTATTTTGGGATGCTGGAGACACCCTGAAATAGCTACACCGTGTCTACATAAGCCACCCATTATTTTGAAATATTTTTTGAACTAATGGGCATTCTATTTCACCATCCCAGTAATCTTTGTTGCAGGAGGGTTAAGGGATGGCTCAAAGTAGTGCATTATTTTGAAATTTGATGCTGTGTAGATGCAAGTGAAGGAAAAAAGTTCAAAACCATAGATCCAAAACCATAACACCTAAAAATACCTCCCATGCTTGGGGCTACATTACAGTGACTGTGACATGTTCCATTTTTCTACAGATTTCTTATTGCCCATTATTCCTTTGACCACTGAATATGTTTTTGGAATAAGCCAAAGTAAGTTAATTTATTATGGTTTAGTTTAGTTTACATACAGTGTAAATGTCTAACAGTGATGGTAACTAACCATTGGAACAATGTACATGTCCAGCGGAGGCAGGGAACTTACCTTGCACCCTCTGATCTCCCAGATTGGATTCAGGAGCCTCCAGGAGTTTGAGCCCAAACCTGGGGGGCTCCTGGTAGAACCAAGAGGATTGCTAATCTGCTCACAGCATGTGGCAGTTCTGGGCTAGCATCCAGAGCAGTGGTACATGTAATTACTGATTTTCCCTTAGGAAATTGAAAGGCGACCTTAACCTGATGGGGTGGGGAGTTTATCCAAGAAAACTCTAGAGACTGGGAGTTGCCTGGAAGAGAGAAAGGACCTAGCTGTGGAATATTGTTTCCAAGAGCACAGAGACCAGTTCTCTGTGGGACACTGCATGCAGGCCTGGGACACAAGCTCACTGCATCCAGTCCTGGCCTTACTGTGGCTCACACCAGAATCTTCCAAAATGGCTTCTACTCTCTCTGTGGCTCCCAGGGTAGCATCTCAAGTACTAGAGAGAATGGGAAAAAATCCTTCCTTATTTAGGACCAAAACTGTAAAACCTCGAGAAA